GAGATTTGTCAAAGAATATATACCAACTTTGATAAAATTGACTCTGTAAATGAACCTCTGTTTCATTTTAAAGATTATTACTAGTACTGAGTATAACAGCTAGATAAAAGCTTCCTACAATCTGAAAATTAGAAATAAAGTGATTATAATTGAGTTGATCAATATATTAAAATAAACTGTATTCTTATATTTAAAGTAAATGAGATAGAAAAGTAAAAAGTAAAATATATCTAAATATTAAATTTAATATATAAAAAATTTAACAAGAAATAAAGTTTAAAATCTTGTTATTTTAGTTATTATATCTATTGAATAATTAGTTATATAACTTTATAAATCTCTATTATATAAGTTTATATCATATTAATAAGCTTTATAATATTATAGTGATTATAATATTTTTAAACATATAAAAATAAAATATTCTGAATTTAATATAAATAAATTTAATTAAATTAAATATATTTTAAATTGATAAATTATTTGCTTAAGTGATCTACTTATTTAAAAATTATATTAACTAATTAGTTAGTTAGTTAGCTAGTAAATTAATTAGATAAAAAATTAAATAGTTTTATTTTAATATTTATTAAAATAGAATTTTATTTTTCTATAATTAAAACTTTACTACTTTATTAAAAAGTTTTATAATTTAATAAATTTTAATAAATCTATCATATATTATACATATTTATAGATTTATTTTTAATATAGCTACTATAGTTTTTAATTTAAATTTCAAATCTTCTAATTCAATTTTTAATTTTTAAAGTAATAGCTTTAAAGCAATAACTTTATTAAAAGGTGATTTTAACACATTTAATATTAACAAAAAAATTTTTAGAATTAAATTAAATTTTTTTTTTAATTTTTAAATTATAAAAGCTCTTTAATTGATTAAAAAGTTTTTAAATTATAGTTTTTAAAACTATCTACTATATATTTAAATATTTAATAAAAGAAACTAAATTAAAATTAGAATTATAAATATATATATCTTTTATTAAAAAATTATTAAATATTATATTATTTTAAAATAAAACTTTATAACTATATAGATTAATTGATATTTATTAGTTAGATTAGTGAAATAATTAAAATCTAGTTTAACTAGATAGATGTTATAGTTACTGACTGAATATATCTTAAATAAAAAGTAATAATAATAATATTATTGAATAGTATTTAAATTTAGATTAATATATTTTTATATTTTTTTTCTTTTTTTTTACTTTATTTTCTACTTATGAAATTTTAATTTTATATATTTAATAATTATAACTTATTTATAATTTTTTTTAAATAATTATATATAATTTTCTCATTATATTTAGCTATAATAATAACTTTAAATATTATATAAAATTTTACTATAAAGTTAATCTTATTGAAGTGTTAAATATTATTTTTATAAATTTTTTATATTATTTTTTATTATTATTTTATAATTATTAAATTTTTTTACTTTATTCATTGATAAAATATATAATAATTATAATATATATATAATTAAAAATAATATTAAATAAATATAGATATTTAATTAACTTAAAAATAATAATAAAATCTAAAAAATATATTTAAAGTAGAATTTATATTATTTTATATAAAAATTTTAATTAAATTGAAAAGTTTTATCTATCTACATTTAGTAATTATTTAAAAAAAATTTCTTTTCAAACTTTATCAATATATGATTATTTATATATATTTCTAAGTATAATTTATTATTAGTAAGTTATTTATATAAAGTAGTTTTAAAAATCTTATATATCTTTAAAGCTTTTTTTTTAAAATTATATAAAGTAATGGCTAATTAGCTACATGTAAAATTTTTAAGATAAAATCATTTTGAAGAAAAAATATAAAGAAATAAAGATTGAGAATAGTTAAAATAAATATTTAATGATTTTCAGAGAGAATTCACCACTCAGTGATATTTACTGCTTAGTGATGAAGTACATTAGCACTTAGATAATAACTTATTTAATACATACTTAAGTAACTAGTTAATTTCAGATTATTAGAAGAGGATTTTAATAGATTATGCAACTGATATATCAATGCTTGAATAATATATGACATTTAAATGATGATGTAAGTCTTTTATTATAAATGAGTTAAAAGCTCATCTGACAGAGACCTCATATATAAATCGTGACAATTTTTTATTCAAACTATGTATTTCATATACATTTTCTATATGCTTTTAATGATAGTGGATTTTTTCATAATACTCAGACTTTTATTCTTAACTAACTCTAATTCTAAACCTATTATAACCCTAACCTTGGTTGTTTTTTAATAAATGTATAGAGTTTGTAGACTGCTTTATTTTAGATGAGATGGACAAGTTGATTAAGATTTTTTTTTTAAAGTAGGCACATTCAACTGTAACTGCTTCAAGTTGAATTTTAAAACCCATGTTCAAACAATGTTCAATTCTAATACCAGATTTTGTTGAATGAGATGTTTTGTGACAAATATGCAGAGTTTACAGACCATTTGTTTTAGATGAGATGACGAGTTTGATCAAGATTTTAAAAACGTGGGCCCTAGGTTAAACTATTCAAACTGTAACTTTTTCCAGGTTGAATCTTAAAAACCAATGCTCACAAGTTCCAGTATACAGTATTGAATAACTAACTACTCAAGATGAGCATTTGAACAAAATCTGAGCCAAAAGCAAAACAATTACTTCAGCGTATTTTTGATAAAACATTTTTATAAATCCCATACTTAAATTCCAAACGCCATTCCCAAAGCAAAGCAGTAATTATCTAGTAAAAATCAATTTATAACCCGATCTACATATATAGAGACATAAAAATGGGTATTTAAAAAGCCAACCTACGGGTAGATCTCTTCACCCTCTAAAAACTCTAAAACAAACCTCAAAAACTCCTCCGCATTATCTATCATCGGTAAATGACCCGACCTCTGAATAACCGCCCAATCCGCCTCTCCTAGGTTCCATCTCAAGGCCCCCCTCTCCACCACCACCCCCCCCTCTCCTCCGGTCAACTTCATATCCACATCAACCCCATCCATCCCCCCAACAACAAACATCACCCTCCCCACCGCCCTCCCCCTCCGTCCCAGCTCCCCCCTCGCCAACAGCAGCCGCAAATCAAACGACTTATCCCTCTACGCCTGACAACACGCCATAAACCCTTCCCATGTCGTCGTGCGCATCAGTGCGCGCATCCGCTGCATCTCTGCACAGTTCTCCCGGCGCCACCAGGAGGCGGCAAACCATCGCTCCAACGTCTGCTCGGTCACGATGCTGATGCCGTCGGTGTTCTTGAGTGTGAGCTCGAGGCGGGCGGCGAAGGGGTCGTCGAGGTCTGAGAGGACGGGTGCGCAGAGCGGCATTGAGATGAGTAGGTTGTTGCTGAGAGGGAGAGGAGGGTGGCGGCGCGCCGAGGGAAACGCCGAGGGCGAAGTCGATTTTTGGTATGGGCAGGGCCGTGAGGAGGTGGTGGAGGAGGTCGTTTGCTAGGGATTGGAGGGTTGTTGAGTTTGATTCTTCGAGAGTTGGGCCGGGTTGGGAGAGGAGCCATGGCCTGTTGTGTCGAAACGGAGGGTGCGGTAGCCCTGGGCGTGGAAGGTGGGGTTGGAGAGGAGGATGTGTTGGGATGGGAGTGGTTGGAGGGATATTAGGATCTCCGGGTTCCAGTCCGAGTCCGGGTCCGGGTTCGCCACGGTAGGTGAGTGGTTGGTTGTATGTATTAGATTTGCCATTGTTGGTTTGGAAGCATCTCTTGCTTGTATGTCAGATGAGTTTGCCAAGTTGAACTCTATAAGTTACCTTTTTGATCCCTCTGGCATGAACATGACGTTAATTTATTCGCCGAATTCGCCTCCCTATTTTCAAGTTTTCGATGTCACTTTTCCTTTCTTTTGTCATTTTGTGATACCTCCCTACACTTCAGTTGGCGATATTGACATCACGAACATGGAATTTTAGTGAAGAATGGTTTCTGTCGCTGAAGTTTGTTGCCGGTTTTGTTTGAACATTGTGGCTTTCGTAGTTATTATGTCGTAGTGGTGACATCATGATCGGCTATTTCCATAGCTGCTCAGCCCGAACAACAAAATAATATGTAGAAGGTGAAATTCAGATGAAAGATCAATGGGTGGAAGATATTGTTGAGGAACATTTTTCCTTTCGACCTCCTAGGCATAGCTAGTTACTACCTTGTATCATCAGGCTCCAGATGCTGATAGTGCCCAGTGAAATCTCTATATATGCAAACACAAGCACCAACTTGATTTGACACGAAGCGCTCGACTTCTGGTTTGCGGAAACCAAATGTAAGTAAGTTACTGTTGGTAGGTTGAAATTGAAGGAGATGGATTCCCTCTCTCCACCCCAATGTGACCGCCGACGAAAAGAGCCGTACTGCTAAATAAACAAGCCGCGCAATCGAAAACGCTGCACTCAGCAGAAACTCAAATATCTTCTCACCCACAGATTAGAAATTAATTAAATTAAAAGCTATTAATACAGGCATTCTCAAGATATATGTAAAATCAGTGGTTCATTAAAATAGATGTGTGAATGGTCTGATTTTGTAATCATGGTGAGAGATTCAGCACGGAGGCAGATCAATTGAATAAGTGTTAGATTTTGACTGCTGAGTAGAAACAGCATCTGAATGCTCAGGAACACTGAGGCTGACCTTATTTCCTAGATAGAAAGCTTGTATAGGGCTCAGAAGATTAGAAACTGTTACAGCGCAGCTGCTTGTAATATGGATTAAGGTTGATCGCCTCCCGATCCCCAACCACCTCTTTATATTCAGCTTCATTCCACATTCTAATCCCCAGTTTAGTATTCTCGTCGCAGCTATCTAGATAGATGAATTGAAGCTTTTGTCTTGTATATCATCTAGACTCTAGACTAAGCCATGACAGAATCTGCTGCAAAAGTCTGCTTCTAACATCACTCTGCAGCAGATGCAGACATACTGCTCAATCTACACTTTGCAAGTGTGAGCTCATTCTTCCTTCTCAGCTTGAAGCTGTAGCTTCTTTACCTCTCTGACTGTCTATTGAGCTTCATGTTCTTCTAGTTTTCTTGTTTCTTGTCTTTTTAAGTCTTTTGAGCTATTTTTTAAGTTGTCTTCTCTGTCTTCACTTAATCTGTAATTTAAAAAATCTTATAAGTATATTAAGTTTTAATTGATAAAAACAATTATATTTAGTTATAATTTTTAAAATTAAATAGATTTTATTCTTTATTATATTATTAGTACTTTTTTTCTAACTTGAAAATTTCAGTTAAAGTCTTATTTATATATAAAATATATTAATTTTAAAAATTAACTTTATATTAATATAAAAAAATTATTTAATATTTTTAATTAATAAATATTGTTGAATTTAATTTTACTAATTTTAATTTAATATTAAAATAAAAAGTTAATAATATTATTATATAAAAAATTTAATAAAAAGTTAAATAAATATATATAATTATATAAAAAATATATAAATATATATTTAAAAATAAAAAAATATTATAAGTAAATAATTAAAAAAATTTATATATATTATTTAATAACTTTAATATATTAAAAATAAATTATTAATTTTTTAAATAATAATTTAAATAGTTATTTATATAGAGTTTATATTTAATTTTCTTTTTTTATAAATATATTAAAATATTATTTTATTTAATTAATAAAGTAGTATTATTTTTTATAAAGATAATTATCTTATATAAATATAAAATAATATAAATATTTTTAAAAAATTATAATAGTATTAATTACTATATAAAATTTTTTTAATAAGTATAAATAATTTGAATAGAAGTGATTCAGTAGATAATATAATTCAATAAATAATTAATTATATTAATACTTAAATTATATAGTTATAAATTTTTATTCAATCTTTTTATTAACTTAAATAAAATAATTTATTATAATATAAAATAAAACTATTCAATATTGTATAAAATAATATAATTTAAACTAATATAAAAGAAACTTTAATAAAAGTAATATTGAATATATAAAGTATTTAAAAAATAAAATAATATTTTTCAATTAACTTTTTTATATTTATAATAATTTAAATTGTTTTAACTTAGTCTAAAGTTAATATAAAAGTAAGATAAATGCTTTTATTTATTTATTTAAATAACTATGATAAAAATATTAAACTGAGAATGAAAATATAAAATAAATAAATAAATAACTGAATATAAAAAGATTAAAAATAAAGCAGATCAATTTTAATTTATATTATAAATGACTATATTATAATATTATTTCTCAGTTTAAAAGATACTTATTCTTAAATAATTATATTAAAAATAAGAAAAAAATAGATAAAATTTATTAAATTTAATAGTATATTAATTATTTTAGTCATTTTTTATTAGATTTTTATAATTTTTTTTCTATATTTCACTAATATCAAAATTATTGTTGTTGAAATTTTTTTAGAAATTAAAATTTATTTGACAGTTTGATAATAGCAATAAAGCTTAGAAGAATAAGAATAAAAATAACAATTTTTAACTCAATGATCATGAGATTAATAATATATATAGTAGTTTTTTTGACAGTATTTTATCTATTAGAGAGATGAATTAACAGAGTATGTGATAAAAAATTATATGAAAAATGTTAGGATGTGAATGTGAGCTGCATAAGAAGGAAACTCTCTGAATTGCTAACTGCTATATAATAAAATACTAAGCTTGGTGAGATGAATGAGGGTGCTGGGCACCTGCATGGTCACGTGGTCATATGATGAGGGTTAGGCCTAATCGGGCGCCGAGCCTAATCCGACATCGAGTCTAACCGTGCGCCGGGCCTTCAGTCGGGCGCTTGAGCCTAACAATATTTAGAATTTTTGTAAATTCATTTCAGAAGTTTAATATGAACTGAGAATTGCAGTCAGAGATAATTAACTCTGATGCTTCATTATAGATATAGTAAAATTAAATGAATAATCAAATCAGCTCACAGACTATATTTTCTTGCTTAACTGATAGATTGTATAGTATCTTTTGCTTTTTGACATATTCATGAAGTTTATTGCAATATGCTGTCATATCTGTTTTGATATTGATAGTAATTTTAGCAGACTGAAGACTTTATTTCTTGAGATCTTACTAATTCAGCATGTATGACAGTTTTATACATAATGTAGAATGTCTACTCATTAGATGATTTATCAACAGCAGAGATGAATCAAAGTTAAAATCTTTCATTTGTTTAAATGTGCTGTTAAGATCTAATTATAAATCTTCTATAGTAATACAGCTATAGAGTTTCTTTCTTCTGAATAAACACTATTAATTTTTTATTATAGAGTAATATATTATCTTTCATTATATAGAGACTTTTCTTCTCTTCTACTTGCTACTGCAAAGAGTTAAGTAAGATTGTTATTTTATTTATAAATATAATATATTTAACAATATTCTTCTTTTTTAAAAGTTCAATACTGATAATATTTGTATTTATAAAAAAATAATAATCTAAAAATTTAAAATCTTTAATTTTAAAAAAAAAAATTATAAATAATTATTTAATTATTTTTTAATATATTTAGATTTTCTTAATATATTTATCAGTATATTATTTTTCTTTAATCAGTATTTAATCTCAAAGTAAAAGTAAGAAAGAAATTTCATTTAATAAGTCTGATATAAATTCAACTTCTTAATTATCATGAAGTATTTTATTATATGATAATTAATAAGAATATTAAATTATTTTTTTATTATAGTTTTTCAAACTTAGCTCATCACTTCTGCAATACTTGAATAACTATAAGTATTTTTTTATTATGAATCTTATAGTTGAGCTTTGAATTATTTATTAACTTAAAGTAGAAGATCATAAAATATCAAAAATTATCATTTAGTCTTTAACTTAGTATCTTAGTTATTACTCTATTAGAGATATTAATCTTAATATGAATTTTATATTTAGAGTTATAGTAATATAAAGTTAAAGTTTTTATTAACTGTTTTTTTAATTTTTTAAAGACCGACTAATATTCTGATATTCATATAAATAAATCAGTTTTTTTTATCAACTGATATAGTGATTTTGTAATTCAGCTATAGTTTCTTATAAATCATTGATAGAAGTGGTTAAATTCTAGAAATAATTAAATATCTTTAACTGTGATTGAGATCTATCACTTTGTGATAATAGTAGTCTTCTTAGAATCTATTCTATTTCTCTTTATATTAATAATAAATTTTAAATATTTTATTCTTTGAACAGCAAACTTATATTTTCAGATACTAGCTTGCAAGTCTACTATTTTTAATCAATTTAGTATTAGATTCATTTATTGCTTGCGTTCTTTAAAAGTTCTGTTATAAATTAAAAAAATTATTCATAACTACTATCATGAACTTATTTAGATAGTTAAAAAAAAAATTATTAATAAATCATTAAAAATAGATAGAAATATTTATAAGATTAAAAAAAATTATCTGATATTTATAAAATTTATAGTAAATTCTAAATATGATCAAGTCTTTAAATTCAGAGTTTATTCAAATAGAATAGAACTTTTATTGAATGTTCAGCTTTGTAAAGTATTTTACTTTATTAAATTAATTTATAAACTCATCTATCAGAGATAGTAAATACTGAACTCATTTAATTATAATACTTAATTTATAAAAATTAATATAGAATTATAGTTTTTTTTACTGCAGATAATTAAAATAAGAGATGTGTAGAGAACTGAGTTTACTATAATGAAGTCTTTTATTAAGTTCACCTTTAGATAGATTTTTACTACTTTTAATTTCTTTATATTTATTTTTTATAAAGATGTATATCTTATATTTCTAATAAACTCTGTATTTAACTAAAGCTCTATCTTAAGATTAATATTTTTATGTAGAGAGAATAATTTATCTGAGGTTTTTTTTGAGAAGTAATTCTCTCAGCTATTTAATCATTTAAATAGATTATTGATTAACTCATCATCAGATTTAATATCAGCTTTTGTAAAATCTTATTTTTTTTTAAACTATTTATCAATTTCATATAGACTAATAAT